AATCAGAGGAGGGGAGGGGGGTGCGGCGTGGAGGAGGGGGGCGGGTGTGGAGATGTGGCTACGGGGGAGAGGTGGCTGCGGGGGAGGCGGGGCAAGGCGGGGGTGGCGGGGCAAGGCGGGGGAGGGCGGGGGGAGGAGTGGTGCGGGTGTGGCGTGCGGGTGGGAGGTGGGGAGGGGGCGAGGAGCAGGCGCGTGCGGCAGGCGGGGGCGTGCGAGAGGGAGGGGGGAGGGGCGGTGGGCCCCGAGGACAGGAGGGGAGTCACCACAGCTCACAGCGCGGCGGGTGCAGCAGAGAGGGTGTGCGGGGGTGGGATGCGGGGAGGAGGGGAGGCGGGGCGGTCTGGCACCTGCCGACGCCGCGAGCTGCCGAGCTTCCGCCGCCGCGAGCTGCCCCTTCAGAAGCTGGCTCGTGCGCTCGTGCGCTCGTTCCTGTGCGCTCGTGCCTGCCTGCAGCTGATGCCCGCCCGCATGCGTCCGCTGCGGCATGGAGGCCCGCCCTCCGGCGCCGGAGCCGCCGGCGGCTGAAGTCACCGGGCTGAGGCCACCGCCAGGGCCCTGCGCGGAGGAGGAGGCGGCGGCGGAGGACGAGGCGAAGCTGCTCCCGCCGGCGGCGCAAGTCGACGAGGACGACGACGAAGATTGTGACGACTGGCCAGGGTCGACGGCGCGGAAGTTGGCGGCTGCGCGCGGCTGCTGCGCAGCGAGGTAACCGGGCCTGGCACCGGGCTCGATGCAGTCGAGGGCGGCGGGCGTGTGTAGCAGCGACCGGATGATTTGACGCACAACCAACGACGAGCTTGGGTTGAGGTAGTGGTCCTGGACACGCTGGATCAGCTCGGCCTTTCGGCCTGACCTCGCGAGGCCCAGGCGGAGACACATCTCCTTCAGCTCGTTGACTTTGAGCCGCGGTAGCTCACGCTCGAGGCCGCGTCTCGCAGCGTCCAGCTGGTAGGGGTACATGCGGCGAGAGCGAGGCTTGGCGGGCTCGAGGACAGCTTCGCTGTGCGGCTGTCCAACCCCACAAAAAGAATTTGTCCCTACTAGTGTGGACCTGCGGCGTGTTGCCTTTTCTCTGGGGGGGAGCCGTTGTGTTTCTTCACGTAAGCGGGTAACTCACTGATCCTCCACCGGATCCGACTTTCGACAGTGCTGGCAAAGCGCATCGCGCAGCCGCACGGAGTCTCCGACAGCCACGCACAGCCTCACGCTCACTGTGGTTGAGACTTTCATGCACATGCAAACTCGCAGGTCAGGGTCTCTGGCCACATGCGAAAGGAAAGGCTCATCAGAACGGATTCGTTTGCACGCCGTGCAGAAGCTGGTGAGGTATGGCATGCCAAGATAATCTCCATCGCGATTGCTATCCAACGTGCCATCTCCAACCCAGTCCTCAGGCACGTGGTCGCCACCGCTTGGCTGCCACTCTCCCGCGCGAGATCCATAGTTTATCAGATCGCCCAGTAGGTCTGCAGCTGAGATGCTGCCATCTGCGTCACACGTCAGTCCCGGAATTGCGGGCGTGGCCACTTCACCGTCGTATGTGCACGTGCAGTAGGGAAGGTGCGTGCCGCTAAAGGCGGAGGGGTTGGTGAAGTACTCGCCGAGCTCTACACCGCGTGCCAGTCGATCGGTGCGCACTCGGGCATCGTAGACAGCTTGGCTCTCACCTGGCTGACCCAGCATGCCATCCTCGACACGTCGCTTGAGCTCTGCATAAGGCAGTGAGCGCATTTTTTCGCGGTCGCGCGGGCAATGGCATGTCTCGGCGATGCGGGTGTTCTTTGTGTCTTCATACTCATCGGAGTTGCGCCAAATGCAAAGCAGATCTTCCAAGTGAGGCTCGTCGAGTGGGTCACCCACATTGCGGTAATCTTGGAGCCACGAAAGAAAGTCGCCGCGCACCAGGATGTCCAAGCTTTCGAGAACGACTTGTGCGGCTTGGTGCTGGGAGGCAGTGTCAGCTTGCTGCTGCGGAAGTGATGGCGCAGGGGACGACAGCCGCTGCTCTGCGCGCCAGGCAGCCACCAAGCCAACCTCCGTGGGGACGTGCATGCTGCCGTACATCGCAGGACCGCGCTGCTCGCGCCATGCCTGAAACGCCATCTCTTCTTGCCTCGTCATCGAGTTCATCAAGGCATCAAGCTCGGCGAGTCCAGGCTCAGGGTCTGCAATCTGCTGCGGCTCCGAGGATTCTCCGATCTGCTGCCTCCCTGCAGCCTCGGCCGCAGAAGCGTGCGCCTCTCTTGCGATCTGACCCGCTGATCTGCCACCGCTTGGAGGCCAGGTTGCCTCTCCTGCCGCGTCCTCGCCCTGGCTACGGCCCGCGCCATCGCCCTTCTTCATTTTGCACCGCCAAGCGAGGGGCAATCGCAATCCGGATCCGACGACGGAGCGATCCGCCCGTCCTCGTAAAAAGAATTTTTCTACGGGAATTTTGCACAAAGAAAAGGCCTTCGTTAAAATTGCGGCAACACACCAAACATGCTCAGGTCTTGCCGTCTTTGCCGTGCCACATTGTACTCTTGCATCTTCTGGATCAATCTATCCGGCAGCCTGTAACGTTTACGCCGGCCGTGCACTCTGCAAAAGGGCACCAGTCCGCTGGCGGGTGTGTTGCACTCGTCCGTGGGTGGGCCGCCAAGCGCGAGATCCTCCTGAGAGAGCGGCTCAAAAGGCTCCAGGACGCACCCGCACACGCAGTAGCCTGCTGCAGCGCGTTGCTGCACGCCCAAGACAGGGTCAGGGTCAAGTGAGCCGGGTATGGGCTTGAAGCTCAGGCTGGGCAGCAGCCACCGCAGCGTGGCCAGTGCACCGATGCGCCGAAACCCGGTGGCTGATGCTCCAGTCCCACAGCCGCGTCGTGTAGCGGACTCGACCGCCACCGCCATCAGTGCGCTTTCCCACTGCTGGGAGCCATCTGGCTCATGCGAAGCGGCCCACTCCTTGATTGCGAGGCACAGCCAATGGTCATAGTAGTTATCCCCTCGCACGCTGCTAAAGAAGCCAGTGGTCCGCCAATAGTCAGAATCTCGCAGCGCCTCATCGACGGCCTTGAGCAGCGCCACCTGCTCATCGAGCCGCCGAATCCGCATGCGCTCCTCATAATAGCTTGTCACCGTGAGCTTGGCCACGTCACGCCGCCGCTGCGACCGCTCGCGCTCCCTCTCCATTCGCTCCTTGGCGGCCTTGACTGCCTGCGGCCCTACCACGGGGAAGCCTTGTGTGGTGATGGTGGGTGGGGCGGGGAGGGATGGGAGGCAAAGCCACCCCCGGCATGCCTGCTTCAGGAACCATCTGGCTGGAGGTGGTGCCGGCAGCTCCAGCAGCGGCGCTCTGTGTAGTCGCCGAACCAATGCTCGCACTTGCCATCATCGCCGTGATCGCTCGCGCATCCCTCTTGCGCTCGGCGTCTTCGCTCTTGGTCCGCCTCGACATCTTGCGCCTGGTGTCGCGAGCAATACCATACATGCCCATGGCGAGCTCGTACGCCTGCTGGTCGCCACCTTCCGGCGGCGGCTTTGGCCTCTTGAGCCGTGGCGGGCCAGCGTGCACACGGTCGCTATGTGTCACGGCAGGTGTCGCTGCGGCCTTGCGCTGGCGCTTCAGGGAGGCAGATGGCTCCTTCTCCGCCGCCCGCAGCAGCCGTGCATGCTGCTGCTTTCGATCGCGCCACTGGTCCCGCCGGCTGCTCCCGCTGTCGCCGCTGTCGGGGGGGAGCCGGCGTTCGGTCCATTTGGCGAGCCAGCGATTCTGCTCGGCATGCCATTTTTTGTCGGTCTCGTAGTTGACTGAGTGGGGGGGCGGTCCCGCCTCCACGGCTGCTCGAATCTCGTCCGGGTTGAGCCGTCGCTTGGCCATTGGGCGGAGCTGGTGGTGCAAACGACCGAATCGGTGGGACGGTCGGAAACTGGTGGCGGTGGGACTTATAGGGTTAGAAGCCGGGACTGTCACACACAAAAAGAAAACAGACAACCCAAACGTCGTGTCACAAAAGAAAGAAAGAAAACAGACAACCCAAGGGAGGGATGGGAGGACGGCACGCCGCCACCACACGTCGTGTCACACACAAAAAGATTCGAAATTCATTAATTCTTTTTCATGCTGTCGCCGACAGCAGGCGCGTCGAGCCTCGCCGCTCGGAGAGTCGGCCAACCTTGGAGCTAGCGAGCGTCGAGCCTCGCCGCTCGGAGAGTCGGCCAGCCTTGGAGCTCGACTCACGCCTGGCTCACACCTCAGCACCTCAGCACCGCATGCTGCTCAGCTTCGCACCGTTCCGCGCGCTAGCGACGTCCCTGCTCGGCCTCGGCTCTCCCTCGACCGTGCAGGTCGTCGGCGACGCGTACCTCGACATCATCGCCAAAATCGACGAGCTCCCGCAGTGGGACGGAGACACGGCGATCCGGAGCCCGATCGAGACCGTTGCGGGCGGCTCCGCACTCAACACGGCGGTGCAGCTCTCGGCTCTCTGCCGCACTCGCCGGCAGCGCGACCAGCCGCGGCCGTTCCGCCGCTGCGTGCTCCACTCCCGGGTGGGGTCCGATCTCTACGGCGAGCGCCACCAGCCCAAGACCACCCGTGCCCACGCCACCAGCGTCACCGCCGCAGACGCCGCCTCCCGCGCCGCCTCGACCCGCGCCGCCTCGACCCGCGCCGCCACCCGCCCGCCCGCCTCCCTCTCTCTGCCCATCAATCTCCCTCTCTCTACGACGCCTGGCAGCTCCACAGCCACTGGCGAGCACGACTCCCTTCCACTGACGCCACCGCACGCCCGCAGGCGAGCTCGTCGCCGCCAAGACCCGCGAGGCCGGGGTGACCCTCTCTGCGCGCCGCGAGGGCGGGCAGGGCGTCTGCATCTGCTTGTCGGGACGGCGCGACGCCGCCGCAGAGAGACCCCCGTCGCAGAGAGGCACTCGGCACAGACGGCGGCGAATCTCTTCGCCACCCCGCCGTGAAGCCCTCCCTCTCTTCTCTCTTCTCTTCTCTCTCGAGGAGCCCTCCTCTCGAGCCGACGCCTGACGCCTCTCCCCCCTCGCCCGCCGCAGCCGCGACCGCGCCTTTGTCTCCTTCAAAGGATCCGTCGCAGACTTGAGCGAGGCGGACCTGGACGTGGGCCGACTGCTCGCCCCAGGCCTCACGCCCCCTCTTGTCGGAGCCCTCGCGCGCGCCCTCTCTGGCGCCTCCTCGGACCCTCTCTCCCGCCACGCCCCAGCCACCCGCCACCTCCACTTCTCGGCCCTGACCTTCTCTCCCCATCTCTCCCCATCTCTCCCCAGGCACCAGCCACCTCCACTTCTCGGCTTACTACGACTGCTCCGGGCTGCAGCCGGCGGTGCCGCGGCCGGCGGCGTGGAAGGGGCGGCTGTGGGGCAGGGCCTCTCACCTCTCGGACCCTTCCCTGCAGGTGCCTCGGCTGATGGCGCGAGCCAAGGCGGAGCGCGGTGCGACCGTCTCGATTGTGCCTCAGACGGACGCGACAGGCGAGTGGGCAGATTGTGGGAGATTCGTGGGAGGTTGTGGGAGATTCGTGGTGGGAGAAAGGGTGGGCCCCTCGAGCTGGTCTGCTCTCGGCTCACCTCGGCTCGGCTCGGCTCACTTCGGCTCATCTCGCTGACCGCAGGCGCCTGGGAGGGGGGACTCCTCGAGCTGCTCCCGCACACAGACGTGCTGCTCTGCAACCAGCGCGAGGCCGCCTCCATCGCCGGCGTCGCCATCGCCGGCCGACGCGCGACATGGTGCGCGAGCGGGGCTGGCGGCGCGCCAGTGGGGAAGGGGCGAGGCGGACGAGGAGGAGGAGAGTTGTGCGTGTAGGTACGAGATCTCGGAGGGGGAGATTGTGGGAGATTGTGGGAGAGTAGTGGGAGACTGTGTAGGTACGAGATCTCGGAGGCGGTGCGGCGCTTGCACGCGCGCGGCGCGCCACTCGTCGTGGTGACGCTGGGACCGGACGGCGCGGTGGCCGCGACGGAGCAACAGTGGTGGTTCCAGCCAAACCAGGCGCGAGGCCACCGAGGGCTCGGCCGCCCCTTCAGCTCGGGTGTATCTCGGGTGTATCTCGGGTGTATCTCGGGTGTATCTCGGCTCTATCTCGGGCGCGTCTCGGGCGCAGGAGAGGGCGGTCAAGGACACGACCGGCTGCGGCGACGCCTTCGCCGCCGGCTTCCTCTTCGGCTGGTGCGGGTCGCGAGACGTGCAGCGCGGGCTGGTGTACGGTTGCGCGTGCGGCGCCGCCGCGGTCGGCATCACAGGCGGATACCTGTCCCGATCCCTCGCCCCGACCCTGCTCCCAACCCTCACCCTCGCCCTCACCCCTCACCCTCGCCCTCACCCTCACCCTCACCCTCGCCCTCACCCTCACCCTCACCCTCACCCTCACCCTCACCCTCACCCTCACCCTCACCCGCACCCGCACCCTCACCCTCACGCCTCACCCCTCGCCCTCACCGGCGCCACCAGGCGGGTCCGAGCCTCTCAGCGCCACGTCTGTCAACGCGTGCATGAGGCGCAACGAGGGGGTGCAGCGCGCGCGCGAGGTGCCGAGTCTCGCACGATCTCGGACCATCTCGGACTCACTCAGACTCTCTCGGAGTCTCTCGGAGTCTCGGACAGTCTCGGACTCTCTCGGGTCTAGTGACGCGCCTCTCGTGCCGCCGCCGGGATCTCGGCTCATCTCGGCTCATCTCGGCTCATCTCAGCTCATCTCGGCTCCTCTCGGCTCATCTCGGCTCTCGCTGCAAGGTGCGAACGCCGCGCACCGCCGCCGCCGGCGCGAGCGCAGAGGCGGAGGGGGAGGCCCGCTAGCGCAGCGTCGGCCTTGCTGCTTCGAGGGCCGGGCGGCGCCGCTTCAGAGGTCCGGTGGCGAGTCGTAGGCCTTCTTCTCGGAGGAGAACCTGTCGGACGGCAGAGTGTGCGCCGAGGCGGACGAGGACGAGGACGAGGACGAGGACGAGGACGAGGACGAGAGCGTCCTCGATGTGGGGTCTTGACATGTTGCGGGTGTGGAGCCACACTCGTTGTGGTGCGTGTGGGGCGCTCGAGTGTGGGCAGCGCGGTAGACGCACTCTCTCCAGTGTGGGTCACGCGCGCGCGCGCCCGCGCGCGCCAGCACACATTTAGATACTCCCTTCAGCATAAAAAAATGCTTGATGCCTGAAAAGAAGAACGTTTGTGCGTCACCACGCTCACGCCCTTCCTCCACGTGTGACACACTAGTCACGGCTCACGCTGCCACTGACGCGCCACGCTTACTGACAACGATCTCACCGCTCACACCTCATCCTTGGCTGCACCGCGCCGCGTCTTACTGTTCGCCTTTTTTCGCTTTCGCTTGACGCGCATCCGCTCCTCGTGCGACTCGCCATAGGTGGGGGCCTACACGGAGAGAGGGGACTCTTTCGTGAGAGGGCTGGAGGGTGGCGAGGATCCGGGCTTGCGGGCGCCTCTGGCGCGTCGCGCGGCGGCTTGTTGGCCTGCTCCCTCTTGAGGTGTCCGCCGTCAAAATCCTGCGCGGGGTGGCGGTGTGCTGCTCACGCGACGGCGATCGTGCGGGGGGGACTGGCTGCAGCGTGTCGCCTTCATCCGCTTCAGGAAATCTATCAGCTCCGCTCTGCTCGCGACTTTGTCGCCATCGCCGTCCGCCATGCGCATCAGGACGTCGACGCCAAAGTTCTCCGCGCCCATGGCGGAGGAGCCCTGCTTGAGAAGGTCGAGCAGCGCCGGCGCCTCGGCCTCACTCACAGAGCCGTCCTCGTCCTCGTCGACGGCGTACAGCCAGTCGTCCACCACCGTGAGGATCTCCTCCTGCGAGATGACGCGCGGTCCGAGAGCGTGGCTGCCAGAAAGTAGGAGGCAGAGCGTCAAGGCTAGCGTCGGTGAAGGGCACATCCACTCGTGGGACAGGAATGCGGTGACCACAGAGCGCCTCTCGCGGCGCCGACCAGAACGCGTAAAAGTCCGGGACGACTAGCTCAAAAAAAAAATCCAAAGTTCGAAGAAGCTTGGTGCTTGCAGCGAGAATCGGCGAGGGACTGCGAAGGGAGATAGGAAGAGGCAGACGACCAAGGGTTAGGGTGGGCGACGGCTAGCACCACACCGCTGAACAAAACAAAAATATCTCTCTCCGCTGAACGAGTAAAAGATTTCCTTCGGCGGACTCTTTGCGGTGTTAGTGCCAGTGAGTTTTGTTACGACCAAAACGATCTTGGGAGCCAGGGTGAGACAACAGGTCGGGGTGCCACACGGGGCGCACCACAGGCGTATTCTAGGGGGGGAAACGAAACGGGGAATGAGGGGCCCCGCCACGAGAAGTGCGTCCTGGGGATGCAGAGCGTGCAAGGCGGCTAGGGATGAGGCCACAAAAGAGGCGCGCGAGGCAAGGAGGAGAATCGCTGCGCCTCCCCGTAGGTCAACAAGGAAGTTGACAAGGTGACGCCAAACAACACGCGCGAGGACCAGCCCGGCGGGGAGGTCCTGCCGCCCGCCGCGTACCGGCCGACGCCGCTCACGTACAAGGGCCCGCACGGCCACGACCACACCTACGTCGACAAGGTGATGCTCTCCGGCAACAAGAACGACACGCACCTGATCAAGCTGCGCATCCGCTCGACGCGCCGGCCGGAGCTCGGCGACAAGTTCTCGTCGCGCCACGGGCAGAAGGGCGTCGTCGGGCGCGTGGTGGCGCAGGAGGACATGCCGTTCAGCGACCACGGCATCTGCCCCGACATCATCATGAACCCGCACGGATTCCCGTCGCGCATGACCGTCGGCAAGATGATCGAGCTCGCGGGCAAGGCGGGCGTGCTCGACGGGCAGATCCGGTTCGGCACCGCCTTTGGCGGCGACTCGGTCGACTCGTGCTCAAAGGTGCTCGTGCGGCACAGCTTCCACTACCTCGGTAAGGACTTTATGACCTCGGGGCTGAGCGGCGAGCCGCTCTCGGCATACATCTTTTGCGGGCCCATCTACTACCAGAAGCTCAAGCACATGGTCATCGACAAGATGCACGCGCGCGCGCGCGGCCCGAGGCAGGTGCTCACGCGCCAGCCGACCGAGGGGCGCTCGCGCGAGGGCGGCCTGCGGCTGGGAGAGATGGAGCGTGACTGCCTCATCGGGTACGGCGCGTCGATGCTGCTCAACGAGCGGCTGATGACCTCGTCGGACGGCTTCCGCGTGCACGTCTGCTCAAAGTGCGGCTTGATAGCGCGGCCGCAGTGGTGCCAGCCGTGCCGCTCGCGCGACCACCTGCAGCAGCTAGAGATCCCGTACGCCTGCAAGCTCCTCTTCCAGGAGCTGCAGTCGATGAACATCGTGCCGAGGCTACGGCTCGAGGCAAAGTAGTGTGTGTGTGTGTACACGGGCGGAGAGTCTTCTACAGAGTGGAGAGAGTCGGGTTGGAGTACAATGCGTACTTTACAGGACTGACGTATGGTAAAACGCGGACGACGGCACGGTCCGCGGAGATAGAGCCGTGTACACAGTGGAGAGCTCTAGCGACCTTTGTGGCTCTGTACACATAGATAGGGCAAGCGTCAAGGGGCTCAGCCTCGAGCAGGGCCCGGGCTCTCTAGCAGCTCAGCGTAAGGTGTGAGCGGAAGGCACCCGACCAAGCAACCCGCGGTAGGTCCACACAAGCGGCGGTAAGTAAGCGGGCCAGAGAAGTCCGGCAAAAGCTCAGAGTGTGGCCCAGCCCCATCGGTCCGCGGACCGCGCGCCCGCCGACACGGCGAAGGCGGCGTTTGGCCCTCAACGGCCGGCAGTGAAGTGCACCGACGACGCCTCCCAGCCAGCAACCGCGACAACGCTCTCGATTGCGTCCATCACGCGCTTGCGCCGCCCCTTGAGCTCCACGAAGATGTCGTCGTCGACCCCTGCCGGCAGGAAGAAGTTTTGCTCCAGCCACTCGTCCAGCTTCGAGCTCGTCACCGTCGCCGGGTCGGGTTTGATGACGTACGACTCCCGGAACTTCTCGGGGGTGAGCTCCGTGTCCTTGAGGATCTTGATGATGTCCGGGTTGTCCCATGAGATGGTGGAGTCCACAATGGCGGGGGTGCGTCGTCGCTTCCTCGGCGCTGCCGGCGGCTCCTTCGCCTCGAGAGTCCCCTTGTCGTTGCCGTCAACGTACACAAACTTGAGCAGGGGCAAATAGATGGCAGGGTGGCAGCAGAGCTTGGCATTGACCGAGTGCTCGAGCCAGGTGAAGTTGTAGAGCGAGTTGTAGATCCCCTTCTCGATGCTCGCTACGGGAAAAGATGTGGCTGCTGAGCAGACAGCGGGGCCGGTGTCTGCAGCGATCAACGGGGCTGGGCACACCTTGCTCGCACATCTCCTTCGGGTAGAAGTGGTGCTTTTGCCAGTTGACATCATCGGGCGTCACATCAAAGACGATGTGCGACGAGGCAGTAGACGAGGCCGCCGCAGCGGCGGCAGAGGGGGCAGCCTATAGGTTTGTGGGAAGAGGGTGGCGGGAGTTTCGGCTGCAGCCTTTGCGAGGCGACAGGGAGTCTAACCTCGAAGTGGCGTAGCATGCTGATCATGGTGAGGAAGGGCGCCCGGAGCTTCTGGTCGATGGCCTGGCCAGCGTCGACTTCGGGAAGTAGCACGTTGATCTGCGGGAGCTCGCCGTCGAGAATGTCGCTGGCCCACTTGATCTGCACGCCGGTGCCCTTCTCGTGCGACTTCAGCGTCGCAAAGTAGAGCATGCGCAAGGCGAAGTACACACCGAGCCGACGCAGCCGAGCATCTTCCTCGTCCACCTCGACGTCGTCGATGTCCCCGTTGACAGGGACGTAGCGGTACAAAGCGACGATCATCACGGCCAGGGCGGGGCGAACAAAGCCATCTTGAGCGGACATCGCCGCGGGTGCGGACTCAAGGCCCCACTCCTGGCGAAGCTGGCTCACCCACTCGAAGGTGGCCTTGAGCCGTTCCTAAGGGAAATGCGCACACATCGGACTTGAGTCCACTCCCAGGCCGGCTGGGCGCAGTTCACCTTCGAGTGCTCCGACCAATCGACGCTGTTGAGGTTGAGCTGCGCGACGGTCTCCTGCTCCTGCTTGTAGTTGAGGGCGCGCACAACGATTTCGTCACTGAAGGCGCGCGCCACGTGCGGAGGCATGTAGGCAAACTGGTCGATCGACGCCTGAAAAAGAGGTGGTGACGTGGGGGTGGAGGGCGGGGAAGGGGGTGGAGGCGAGGGTGGAGGAGGCGACGGCGGCAGGGGTGGGGATGGCAGCGGCGGCGATGGTGGGGGCGGAGATGGAGGTGGTGGGAGTGGGGGCGGCGGCGGAAGGGGTGGGGGCTCGGAGGCGGTGGCGTGGGTGGCGGCGGTCGGGCTTGCGTTGGAGAGTGGTGGCTAGGGTGGCGGGGGTAAAAGGGCGGTGGGTGGCGGTGACGGAGGTACGTACCTTGACCATCTGGTTGAACTTGATCTTTGTAGCGGGGTCGGCGATGCAGTACGCGGGCATCATCTGCAGCGACTTTTGCGGCAGCGGTACCCCGAGGTGGTTGATGTTGGAGAAGTACTTCGCCGCATCCTCAGTGGAGCAGCGGGTCTCGCGGAAGGTGAGCTTGAAATCCCAAAACGCCTTCGCGATCTTGCGGAGCTCAAGGAAGCTGCGGAGCTCGTCTGCCGGCACCTGCGTCTCATCTCGAAGCATCGTGTCGATGAGCAACTCGTGGATGGAGATGAAGCCATACCTACAAGCATCGTGTTCGAGTGAGCCTGCTCCTTACGGTGGGACGACAGACACGTAGGTGCGAGCGTCACTCTTGCTTGTCGTCGTCGGCGAGTTGCGAGGCGACATCGATCTTGAGGATCGGCTTCGTCACGGGCCCTGGGCCCTTTGCAGCGGCGATGTTGAGGCCCTTAAGGATGTTTGGGAACATCTCTCGCTCGGTCTGCTGCCCGTTCTTCACCTTCTGCTTGTTGAACTTGAGATTGTTGACCTGGCGCGGGTCGCCGGTCGGGTGGTAGGCGATCAGCGTCGGCTTGAACTTGATGGGGCCTTTGCCCGCCGTGGGCTGCTCGAAGGGAATCGCGCCATCGTACAGAACGAGATAGGCAAGCGCGCACAGGCGCTGCTGGCCGTCAAGCACCATGAGGTCGTGCTCGTCACAATAGTGGGGCGCGCACGCGTCCTTGCTGGTCATGAAGACGGGCAGCGCGCGGCACACTGCGCCGCCATCGAGCGCCTCGGACAAGTCGGGCCTCCACACCCATAGCTCCGGCAGGATGCCGCCCTCGATGATGGTGTTGAAGAGCTTGATGACGTTCGTCGCTGGCCACTGCCAGCAGCGCTGAAAGTCGGGCAGCTTGTACTTGCCCTCCAGGATGTCGAGGATGATCGCGAACACGCTGCTCGCCTCGTTGTGGTCGACCACCTTCTTCGCCTTCATCTCGTATAGCTTCTCCTTGAGTTGCTGCAGGCCGTCTTCTGAGAGGAGCTTCTTGACGCGCTCCGACTGTCCGTGCTCGAAGCACTCGGCGAGCGGAACCAGCTGCGCCTCCTCGTGTGCCTCACCCTCCGGCGGGGTCGAAGGCTGGCCAGTGAGTGGAGCGGACATGTTGCGGCCGCGTCCAGGACCGAGCGGCCGTATCTTATTACGAGGCTCACATTTCTCTTTTTCCAATCTCGAGAACTACGTACGATAGTGACACTAGATCCCACACTAGACCCCGGTGCGATCTGTCCGGCCAGGGCGCGGGGGGGATTGCTGGGCTTCTCACCGCACCATGCAATTGCAAACGCCCCCCCACACACACACACACACCCCTCCCACCCCCCCCCCGCGTCGCACGCGCAAAGGCTGATGCCAATGCTGTCGACAGCGGAGATGGGAGCTGTCGGGTACCTAAGGTAGGGCGAGGTGAGGGTGTGAGCGCGAGGCCCTTTGGGGGGGCGGGGGGGGGGGAGGGAGGAGGAGGGGGGGGGGCGGGGGGAGTGCGAGAGAACGGAGAGACTGGGACGACTGGACACGAGAAGACAGTGAGCCACCACAGGCGTCGTTGGCGCACATACTGAGCGGCAACTGCGCTGGAAATAAGGAAGAGGCGCGTTACTTCATGCGGAAGCTTGACAAACACGCGGCGAGGGCAACAGCAAGAGTCGAACGGGCGGCGCCTGACTCAAAAGACACAGCCGCATTCCTGAGACGCGCGAGGGCAGCCTCCTTAAAGGCAATGGGCTCTAGATTCGGAGCGCTCGCCGAAGAGGAGTACGACAAATTAGCGCCCGTGATTGCCTGCACGCTGCCCGCACTCACGGACTCCATACCCGAAAGAAAGAGAGGGGGGCTCGCAGGAGAGGTGACGAGAGAACTACAGGTAGTGGGGAAGGCAGCCTCGATCGCCATACTGACATGGATGCGAAACAACGACAAGACCAAGGCAAGGGCAGAGGAACGAGAGAAGAATATAGGGTGGATAAAGCGCCTGTTCACGGCATGGAGGGTGAGCCAAGCCGAACGTACCGAACGTAGAGCCGAACGGGAGGAAGCCGTTGAAGACGATTTCGAGGAGGACGAACCAGTGGAAATCCCGCCTTCAGCTGTCACGATGCACCCGAAGGGGACCCCAGCGCCAGCATCAGTCGTGGAGGTACAAGTGTCCGAAGAGAGAGTGGACCTGAGCAATGATATGACTTGGCGGCAAATGATCGCAGTGGGCGTCAGAAGAGTCATCCTTGCGCGAGGAGAGCTCGATAAACTCGAGGGGCCAGGATACGCCGCGAGGAGGGCAGAGTTACGCCGAGAGGCGAGAGCAAGGGATCGGCAGGCAGCGGCGTCGTCGCAGAACGAGGCAGAGGGGAGCGAAGCGACAGAGGAAGAAGCGACAAGAGAGAGAACGACGAGAGGGGGGACGACACTGCTCGATCTACCCTCTGGGGTCCCGTCCCTCAGCAGCGTGCACCTCGATCCTGTACCGTGTTTGTTATGACCCCCCCAATGAACACACCGGTGAGGGAGGGCGAGACGATCGAGGGGTCCCGTACCATGCGGAATCGACCCTATCAAGTGCTCAAGTGCTCAAGGGGGACCCCAGCGCCAACATCATCGGTGGAGGTACAAGTGTTCGAAGAGAGAGTGGACCTGAACAACGATATGACTTGGCGGCAAATGATCGCGGTGGGCGTCAGAAGAGTCGTCCTTGCGCGAGGAGAGCTCGATAAACTCTAAACTCGAGGGGCCAAAATATGCCGCGAGGAGGGCAGAGCTGTGACGAAAGGCGAGAGAAGAAGCGAGAGCAAGGGAGCGGCAGGCGGCGGCGGCGTCGCAGGACGAGGCAGACGAGAACGACGCGACAGAGGAGGAAGCGACAGGAGGGAGAACGACGAGAGTGGGAAGACCGCGAGGTGGCATGAAGGTTGCAGCGAGAATCGGAGAGGGACTGCGAAGAGAGATAGGAAGAGGCAGACGCCCAAGGGTGGGCGACGGCTAGGTCACCACACCCCTCTGCCCTCTTCTTAAAATCCCTGTGTGGTGTCTGTTTTCTTTCTTTTTAGTGAGTTTTGTTGTATGCCATGCGCGCGGACCACGCTTGCAGGGGGACCGGGAGGCCGCGGTAAGTCGTCGTCGCCCGGCGCTCACCATGGCGATCGATGGCGCTAACTAAGTCTAAGGAGGTTCCTCTTTTTTTTCCGCGCGCCTCCCGCAAGCGCGCGATACACGGGGTCCAAGGGCTCCAAGAGTGCTTCTCGGCCGGCCCTGGATGTGAGGCTATACCAACTGCACTCCAAGTGCTCCAAGATCCTTACAACATCGCACAGCACTTAACGTGAGTGTCCTATGAGCACCCCACAAACCGACACCCCATACCCTCTCGCCGCGCCGCCCGCCGACGCCCAAACCCCAAGCCAACGCCCCCCCGCCCGCCCGTGCGTCACATTTTCACGATGCTGACGTAGAGGCTCTCGCCCTCACGCACCTCCTGCTCCAGCCAGCAGCGGGTCGGGTTCTCGCGGCGGCCCGCCTGATGCCGCGCGGTCCCCGTCGCCTCGGTCGCCTTGATCGCCTCGAGGAAGAAGGCGGGCAGGTCGTCGCCCAGCCGGCGCGAGCGGCGGACGGCGGCGGGGGGGACGCCGGCGAGTGCGGCCGCCCGCCTAGAGGAGGAATGCTCCGAGAAGGTTCGTGGGTGTGAGGCTCGAGCCAGGGCCCCGCACACAAGGCCCAGCCGTGCCTACTCCAACTCAGGGACGCGAAATGTGAGTCACTGCTCCACGACAGTGGGTCCCGCACTGGCCGACGGCGGCCGCGCCGCATCTCGTCGAAGTCGTAGATCCATCGGTGCTCGTAGTTGCGAAAGATGTTGTTGATGACCGTCGCTGCCGAGGCGGGCTCGCCCAGCCCGCCCATCGGTGGGAAGCGCCTACCTCGGGCGGTTCTCGGGTGCTGACGGCTCTCTCCCCAGCCCTTCCGCGGGTGGTCCGTGGGTGGTCAGTCGCCTCGCGTGCTCCTGCAGGAAGGGGTCGGTCTCGCGGTTGACGTAGCCCCGCATGTACTTGTCCAAGTCGGGCGTCGTGATTCGGAGGATGCCTGTCGACCGCTCAAGACCGCGGCTGTTGAGTGTGGCTGAATGACGCGTGTGCCTCTTCTGGAGTTGCTCAGATACTCCTTGCCAATGTGTTCCGCATCTAGGGCAAGGAGCGCCGCCCGGGCGCAGCACGCGGTACGCCTCCGCGAGGAAGGCCGCGCCTGCGAGGTACGACAGGGGGCGCGGCGAGGTGCTTCGAGGGTGCACAGGCTGCGAGAAGGAGAAGTGCAGCAGCGGCTCTGGGCCCGGCGCAGCAGCCATGGCGCGGGCAACGACCAGAAAGTGTCTCGGGAGTGGCGTACTATTACCGTCCCGCGGCAGGATGTGCTCGAACATGTGCTCCGAGTAGACGGCGTCGAAGGAGCCGTCGGCGAAGGGCAGCCCCTGCCCGGCGACGAGCCGCATGATGAGCCGCCCCGTCCGCCAGTCCTCGCAGACCACTCCGCTCGGAAGCCGCGTGAAGACCATGTCCGCATTGAGCCAGCCGTCGCCGCACTTGTTCCACCAGTCGCCACCGACCTGCAAGAAGCGCACGCCCTCTGCCGAAAGCTGCGCCGCAGAGACGAAGGTGCCATTGACACGCTGCTGCGACTTCTCTGACTCAAGCGCCTCGCGACCGCGCAGGTGTCCGGCACCGAAGCGGCAGACATTGCACTGACCCTGTATGCACGCGTATCGTCGCTCCTCGAGCTGCGCGGCGCGTGGCTCGAGATGCAAGCCGGGCAGAGGCGCGGCGGCGGCTGGCCACGTCAACAACGTATAGCAGATCGCGAGGAGGGCTGCGATGGTCAGCGTCGTGCGACGGCGTGTGCCGCCGAGCAGCTGGCTCCTACCACGGCGCGTCGATCTCGCGTCAGGCGGCGTGAAGCGACGGAACGACATTGCCGTCAACTACGGCGCCTCGACGAGCGGGGAAAATTTTTTCCCGAACGCCGTTGCAGCACGCATCGCCCTTCCTTTCTTTCGGCATCGCCCTCCTCTCGTAGTGCGGCTGCTTTCTTTCTTTCTCTTGGTTGGAGCACAAGACACAGAGCTCACACAGGATCACAGCGGGAGGAAAGCGGCGAGTCGCAATTCCAGGGGTCGTTGTGGCGGGCCACCCTGTCCCGGAAGGCATGGATCGCGGAGCCCACAGGACCCAAAAGAAAAGAGCTACCAGAGCGCGGAGCCAACATCGATGTGACACCGCGGTGCCACGCACAGGGTCTCTCTTCTCGCGCGCGTAGACAGACACCGTATCGTAGTGTTGTGCGAGGTCCTGTTGTACTTAGTCTAAAATTCTTTTTGAAAAAGAAAGAAAGAAAACAGACAACCCAAGGGAGGGATGGGAGGACGGCACGCCGCCACCACACAGGGATTTTAAGGAGAGGTGTGTGGTGCGCTAGCCGTCGCCCACCCTAGGGAGTCTGCCTCTTCCTATCTCTCTTCGCAGTCTCTCGCCGATTCTCGCTGCAACCTTCATGCCACCTCGCGGTCGTCCCACTCTCGTCGTTCTCTCCCTTGTCACTTCCTCCTCTGTCGCGTCGTTCTCTTCTGCCTCGTCCTGCGACGCCGCCGCCTGCCGGTCCCTTGTTCTCGCGGCTTCTTTCGCCTTTCGGCGCAACTCCGTCCTCCTCGCGGCGTATCCTGGCCCCTCGAGTCTATCGAGCTCCCCTCGCGCAAGGACCACATTTCTGACTCCCACTCCGATCATTTGCCTACAGGTCATGTTGTTGCTCAGGTCCACTCTCTCTTCGAACACTCGTGCCTCTACGGATGATGCCGGCGCTGGGGTCCCCTTCGGATGCATCGTGACATCTGACAACTGGATTTCCACTGGTTCGTCCTCCTCGGAGTCATCTTCCCCGTCCTCCTTCCGCTCGGCTCTTCGCTCGGTACGTTCGGTGTGGCTCACCCTCCATGCCGTGAACAGGCGCTTTATCCACCCTATATTCTTCTCTCGTTCCTCTGCCCTTGCCTTGGTCTTGTCGTTGTTTCGCACCCATGTCTGTATGGCAATCGAGGCTGCCTTCCCCACTACCTGTAGTTCACTCGTCACCTCTCCCGCGAGCTCCCTTCTCTTTCTTTCGGGTATGGAGTCCGTGAGTGCGGGCAGCGTGCAGGCAATCACGGGCGCTATTTTGTCGTACTCCTCTTCGGCGAGCGCTCCAAATCTAGAGCCCATTGCCTTTAAGGAGGCTGCCCTCGCGCGTCTCAGGAATGTGGCGGTGTCTTTTGAGTCCGGCGCCTCCCGTTCAATTCTTGCTGTCGCCCTCGCTGTGTGTTTGTCGAGCTTCCGCATGAAGTGACGCGCCTCTTCCTTATTTCCAGCGCAGCTGCCGCTCAGTATGTGCGCCAACGACGCCTGTGGTGGCTCACTGTCTTCTTGTTTCCAGTCGTCCCAGTCTCCCAGTTCCCCGCGTCTCCTCCTTGCCTCGCGCGCCCCTTTTGTGGCCTCATCCCTAGCCGCCTTGCACGCTCTGCATCCCCAGAACGCACTTCTCGTGGCGGGGCCCCTCGTTCCCCGTTTCTTTTCCCCCTCTAGAATACGCCTGTGGTGTGCCCCGTGTGGCACCCCGACCTGTTGTCTCACCCTGGCCCCCAAGATCGTTTTGGTCGTCACATTGTGATCCCCGACGTCGTCAAATGTCGCCCGCCTGTCCTTCCCCCCGTTCTCGTCCGGTAATCTCATCTTATTATCCCATCGATGCTTGAGGCTGGCTACTGCCACTTCGCTCCACAACCGTCCCGCCACCCCTGCCGTGTGCGATCCTGGCCTCACTGTCTTTCGATATTGCTCGCACACCCACTCGTGCGCGCTCTTACACATGTGTCCGTACGTCCATTCTTTTTGATCGCACCCCACTTCGCCTAAAAATTCTTTTTGTTCGCGCCAGGACTCGCGCCCTCCACAGACCCGAGCCTGGTCCTGGACAGGTCTGTCCTGCACACACTCGCATGCTGTCCGAGGACCCGCCCCATCCTGGACTGCTCCAGCGTCTCAAGGTCACGAGCCGAGAGTGGCGCGACTTCGTGAGCTGCTTGCCGGGCTGCACGCTGCTCTTCCTCGGCCGGACGGAGCACCATCCTCTCGCGGCTGTCGTCTGGCACCCGCCAGCGGCGCGACACGCAGCATCTATCGAGGCGCTCTTCGCCAAACAGGGAGGATGCAGCGTGCGGCCCACCGGAGCACCGCGAGAGGTGGTTCTCGCAGCAGGACGGACGGTGCTGGTTGTCGAGGCGACTGAGTTCGCACGGCTCCTCCTCAAGCGAAGCCCGCAATGGCTCTCGGCGCTCTTTGCCGCCCAGGCTCCAGAGTTCGAGCACGCAGGCTGGCAAAGGCTGACGGCGGAAGCAGACCAAGACACACTAGCCGGCCCTCTGTTTGCGCGTGCGTGCGTGCACCAGGCGGTGGGGCGGCTCAAGCAGTCGGGCTCGGTAGTGGCGGCAGACGAGGAGCCGCCGGCGCTGCGCGCTGCCGCGGCCACGGCAGTCGCCCTGCTCCGGCAAGGGCACCGGCTCGCGCCGGGCAGTCCCGCCCCGCCCGCCTCTCTCCTCGAGCGCCTCGGCGAGCCTAGCGACTGGCCGAGGCACGCGAGGCCGGGCCTGCTCGCTGACGCGCTCGCCGCGGCGCAAGAGCACTGCGCCGCCATCGACACGCACAGCCGGTCTGCGCCGTCCGCGAGCGAGGTGTCGCGGCTGCCTCTCCTCGAGGAGTGGCTGGCCGGGCTCGACCAGCTTCTGCACGACCCCGACGGCGATGCTGAGCTCGCCAGCCTCCTCCATCCGGGCGCCTCCCAACCCCCTGCGCCCGGATTTGAGTTTAAGGACGGGGTGCCCGACCTGCTCGAGCGGCTCGGAAGACCGGTCGAGCCGCGCAGCGTCGTGCTGGCTGTGCGGAGCGGCTCGCACCTCTACGGCCTCGCCACGGGCGCGAGTGACGAGGACTACACCATCCTCTACCTCTCGCCGGCGCGGGAGGCGCTGCGGCTCCGCCCGCCACGCGCGCAGTTCGAGTCGCACGGCTCGTCCTCCTTCGGCGCGGACAAGGCCGGAGAGCTCGAGTGCACCGGCACCGAGCTCGCTAGCTACGTGGAGCACCTGACGCGCGGCAACCCGAGGGTGGTCGAGCGGCTCTGGCTGGGCTGCGACGCGAATCACGCGAGATGACCCGAGGCCGTCCGAGAGTAGGTTGTCGAGCTGCTCTGGCTGGGCTGCGACGCGAATCACGCGATGACGCGAGGCTGTCCGAGAGTAGGTTGTCGAGCTGCTCTGGCTGCCCGAAGGCGCGGCGCTGCGGGCGGCTTGGCCGTGGCCGGAGCTCGTCGCGCAGCGGGAGCTCTTCCGCAACCAGCGCACAGTCGGGCAGTACGTCGGGCTGATTCGCGAGCGGCTGCACCGGGCGCGAGGGCTGCTGGCGCAGGCCGGCTCGCCGCCGCAGGCCTGCAGCGACTCGGTGGTGGCGGGCGTAAACAAGTGCACGAGGGGGCCGCTCGCTACTCGCGTGTGCCTCGCCCACGACTCACAGGTGCCGCTGCCAACCACTCGCAGGTGCCTCTACCACGCGCTGCACAAGCTGTACGACGCGCAGAGGCTCGTCGCGGGCGAGGCGCTGCACGTGGCGTCGCGCGGCGAGGAGCGCGACCGCATCCTCGCCGCGCGCCGCTTCGGCGGCCCTCCCTTCGCCGCGCAGCTCGACCTGCTGGACGAGGTCGAGGCAGCGGTCGGCCGCCTCGTCGCATCGCTCGCGGGTCGCGGCCCTCCGCTGCCGCCAGAGGCGGACGTCAGCCAGCTCTCGAGCTGGCTGCTCTCCGTCCGCCGCCGGCAGCTCGCCGCCCTCGAGCCCCCTCCGGCCCGTCCGGTGCGCTCGGCGTCATCGTCAGGGGGCAGTGGCGCGGAGCCTGCTGGCGAGGAGGACTCAGCCGAGGTCGCATCGTGCTTGCGGCAGCTCGAGGAGGAGCACGGGGTGGCGCTGCTCTTCTGCGCCGAGGTGTCCTCCCGCGTCATCGGCTCGTCGCACAGCCGGTCGGACCACGATTTGGTCGCCGTCTTTGTGCCTCCGCCCGCCGCGTACCTGTCGATCGAGGCGCCGCGCAAGAAGCTGTCCGCCTCCTTCGCCACTGCCGGCTGCACGGCCGTGGACGTGGTCGCTTACGAGCTGCGGCACGCCTCCTCGATGCTCGCGTCCAACAACCCGACCCTGTTTGAGGCGCTGCGCTCGCCAATCGTGTATGCGGCGACTGAGCCGTTCGCCTCTGGCGCGCGCGCGCTGGCCGAGCGCTACGACGCGCTCGCCCTCGCCGCGTCGTGGCTGCACCACGCCAAGCGCAACCACGTCGACTTCATCGCGGGGGCGAGCCGGCGGGGCGAGGAGGGGCCGGTGCGCAAAAAGTACCTGCACGTGTTGCGGCCGCTCCTCTCGGTGCGCTGGCTGCGCGAGCGAGGCCGGCTCGAGCTGCCGGCGGAGGGTGGAGAGTGCCCGGAAGACGACGCGACTGAAGTCGATCCCGCGGCGGAGCGCTGGCCGCCGCAGCAGCTGCAGCAGCTGCTCTCGTCGCTGGGCGCTGCGGAGGGCGACGCGGTGTACGCCGAGATGAGGGCCGCGCTAGGCGCGCCCGCTGCCCTCGCGGCAGTCATCAGGAGCCTCGACAAATCTCGCTGAATCTCGGCGAATCTCGGCTGTAGGAGCGCTGCTGCTCCCCTCTCGGCGGGGCGAGCTGCAGCAGAGCGCTCCGCGTGTGCCGAGCCTCGACGCTTTCATCGAGAGGGAGCTCGCCGAGGCGGGCGGCTGCGGGCGGAGGGAGGGCTGAAGAGAAGCTGTTCATACTGTGTGCTGTGAGCAGGCGGAGGGGTGGCTCGCGGAGCGAAGGAGGCGGCAGCGGGACGGCGGCACGCGCCACTCGGCCCGCGCGCTCGCCGCGTGTGATGCGCTCTGTGTGGCATCGATCCAGGCGGCGGCGGCGGGGCACAGTGGTGGCGGTGACACTGCCAGCGGGTGGGTTGGCGGTGCGGCAGCATCCTCCGACCAGCCCGGGCTGGACGAGATCGGCCTTCGCTACGCGACCATCGAAGAGACCGCCACAGGGCGCGACAAGTACCTCGGTGGCGACAAGACTTCGGCTGGCCAGGGCTTCACGAGGCACTATGCGGCGCTGCTCGAGCCGCTCCGCCCCCTTGTGGGCGTGACACTCCTCGAAATCGGCGTCTGGTACACCCTCGATGCCCCCCACCCTTGCCCACTCCCCGCCTCCTTCCCCCCACTCTCAGCGCCGCGCCATGTGCAGGTACGGCGCATCGCTCGCCATGTGGTCCGACTACCTCGGGCCGACCGCCCGCATCATCGGCATTGACTGCTCGCTTGCCCGCTTCCGGAGGCGTGGAGGGGGCGGGCACCTGCAGACGAGCCCAGTCGGGACTGAGATGGGAATGAGGACCGAGTAGGCACCTCCCGGAGCTGCGCAGGAAGGGCGCCTTCCGCGCTGCCGAGCCGCAGACTCACGAGTTGGACACCGCGTCGGAGGCGTTCGTCTCGCTCGTCGCACGGTCCTCGGCTGAGCGTGCGGGACGACGCCGTGAGCCGCGCCTCTTCACGCCTGTTATCCCTTGAAAAGGCTGCCTCGGCTGCACATCGTCCTCGACGACGGCGACCACACGGCCCTCTCCCAGTGGCGCCTCCTCCGCCTCCTCTGGCCCAGGCTGCTGCCGGGCGGCGTTTACGTCATCGAGGATGTCGTTCAGCCGGGCGCTTTCTTCGCTCCCAGCGCCTTCGGTGCCGTGCTCGGCGCCGTTGCAAACGAGAGCTACCCTCGCTCCGCCGAGGTCAATCGCGAGCGTGAGCGTGTCGTCTCTGCTGCACGCGCCGCCGCGGTCGCGGAAGTCGAGCACGCGCGGCGGGCGGTCGCCCACGCCACGGCCGCTCGTGAGCGGGCGGGAGACGGGCGCGACCGGGCGGCGATCGAGAGCGCGCTCGCCGCAAAAGTGAGCGCGCTCGAGGCTCTCGAGGCAGAGGGAGGGCCGCGAATAGGGGAGCGGAGGGCACGTGCCGCGGCGAGGGAGTTTGACGCTAGCGTCCAGAGCGCCGCCGCGCTCGCGGCAGAGGCAGAGTCGATCGAGGTAAGGCGCATGTGCGTCGTGATCAGGAAGAAGGGGGGGGGGGAGTGAGGCTGAGGACATAGAGCAGTTCTGTATTCACACGAAACTACTTGATAATCGTTTTTACATTTTAGCGTTGTGTGAGTCGACAGAAGAGGGCTGGGGAAGACACACTGACACACAGAGTGTAACAGAGAATTAAGGCCAGGAAGGCTCACGCTGCCGCGGAGGTCGCTCGGGACCTGCTGCTGCTCGTCTGCCGCCTCGGCTTCTGCCCGCCCGCAGACCCCTCGCCTCCGGCCGCCGCCCTGCCGCGCTTGCCTCCCCTTTGGGCCGCGGTAGCGGGAAGATGCTCGGGGTGGCCGTCCTTGTCGTCGCGCCACTGCCCGTTGTATGAGGAGCCGTCATTGTACGTGATCCGGCCGCGTCCGACTCGCTCGCCCTTGTCCGAGACCCACCACTCCCCCGCGTAGACCGTGCCATCGGCCCGCATGTACCTGGCGGGGGTGGGGGAGGGCGAGAATCTAGGAGGAACGATACGCGCTATCATCATACGACCGGGCCTCTCGTCCCTAGTACGTCGGGGTTCGCACCGGCCCTCCCCGACTCGCTCGCCCTCGACCCACTCCCCGGTGAACGAGGAGCCGTCTGCGCGCGTCCACGTCCCCTGCCCGTGCGGCTTGCCGTGTTGGTACTCGCCGCGGAAGGAGTCGCCGTCTGACCACTTGGCGAACCCGGAGCCGTGCTCCTGCGGTCAATGTGTGGAGCAAGGTGAACGGAGACGCGTCGCAGAAGGGGCGACAGACACAGATGCCCTCGCTGCCGCGCCTTGCCCCGTACCCACTGCCCAACGTAGGTCGCCCCGGACGACTCTGAGTACTTGCCCTCGCCATGCCAGTCGTCGTCCTCCCACTCGCCATCGTACACGTCGCCCTCGGCATAGACCGCCTTCCCTCTGCCGCACTGCCTGCCCTAGAGTCACGAGGGTAGGCGCGCTCAGACGGCACCGTTCACTGCGGTGTTGGCGTGCTCTCTCTCTCTCTCTCTCACTCTCTCTCTCTCTCTCTCTCTCTCTCTCTCTCTCTCTCTCTCTCTCTCTCTCTCTCTCTCTCTCTCTCTCTCTCTCTCTCTCTCTCTCTCTCTCTCTCTCTCTCTCTCTCTCTCTCTCTCTCTCTCTCTCTCTCTCTCTCTCTCTCCCCCCCCCTCTCTTCTCTCTCTCTCTCTCTTGCGTGCTCTCTCTCGCTCTTGCCCGCACCTCCCGCCATTCACCAGTGTAAACGTCTCCCTCATCGTTCTTGGCCCTGTCACAGTGGGGCAGAGGGCATTTGGCTGAAGGTGAGGACGGCTATCGCGGTGGACAGGGAGCTGACTGTAACTGATGGATGACGTCTGGCAGTGGCGACAGCGACAAGAGCAGAGGTGGCAGCCCCGCGGCCTTTGGCGCCTGCCGCGGCCGTGCGGTTTGCCATCCAGCAGCTCGCCTTCGTACGCGCCATTGGAGTAGTCCTTGTGGAGCCTGCCCCGGCCTTGCGGCATCGAGACGCGCGGCCTGCACAGCCGGTGGCCGACAGGACTGGCGGTGGGACGCACGAGCGCACGCAAGTCGACACAAGAAATACATCAAATGCGCAAACCGTTTGTGCCGCGTCCCGTGTTCTCGAGGTTCTCGAGGTGGATATCCTTTGGCCGCGTTGGGTAGCGAGGATTGGTGTGACGCGCTCCACGCAGGCGTGTTTTCTGGCGGCCGACCGTCTCTCAGTGCACGGAGTTGCCCCTTCTCCGTGTGCTGCCCCGAGTTCAATTTAAAAAAAGGAAACCCGTCCGTGCGATCTTTGTGCAGGGTTCTTTGTGGGTGTGGTCGGCGACTAGCCGGGGTCGTCGTCCTCACGATGGGGACTAGCACTAGCTAGGGTGCCCACAGGACCCAAAAGAAAATAGCTTTCCGGCTCAAAAAGGGACGCACGAGGCAAATCTGATGTTGGCCAGTTCCAATAGGAGCGAGGCCTCTTCCGTTGGGGGACCGAGTTCATAGGAAACGAGGGTTTCCCATTGTGTCCCGCTCCAGCGCGAGCGTGACACTGCACTTGGCGCCGAGCGCCCGCGGCTCAGACCTTGTGCAGGCCACCCCTCGGTGACCACGCCGGTCCGGACCGATGGCGCTCGGTGTGGAGCAAGCAAGACCCCCCCCCCCCCCCTCGGCGCGCGCTCGCCATTCCAACGGCCGCCAGGAGCACCAAGAGGACTCCTCATGGCTGTGGTCAAGTGGGCTTCGACCGGCCTCGGCTGGGGGGGCGGGTTGTCCCGGCTGCGGACGCCTTCTGCAGCCCCCTGGGATGGGGACAGCACCCAAAAACTGCCCCCGGCGGCATACAGCACTGCCAGCCAGCCTCTTCCTCCTCCTCAAGGGCTGTACTATAGGCCATATTGCGCCGCCTCCTACTGGCAGCCGGGCGGGCGCGCGCCGCGGGCGCCTCGGCGCGCGCACGGCTCGCAAAGTTCGAACGAGTACTGCCGCCCGGCCGCCTCAAGGCTGCCGGGCGGCAGTACTCGCCTCGCAAGGCGCGCACCGGCTGATCTGGCTGCTGCGCCGGCGGCCGCTGCGCTGGCCGCTGCTGCGCCGGCTGGCGGGCGGTACGGCCGCCGGCGGCCGCTGCACCCGCGCCTTCCCTCGCGGGCGCCGTCGCGCCGCGCGCGCCCAACTCTACTGGCACACGGCACGCGTCGTCACACAGCCGCGGAGAACAGGCGGTGCTGTGCGCGAAGCGCGCGCGATCTCGTACTTTTAAGGCTGGATCCGGCCATTCCAAGGGTATACCTTTGAGAATCCCCAGCGTCCCACCCTCCTAGTCACACTCTCAATTTCTCGACTGGCCAACACGAAGTGCTGCGATCGGGAGTGGCCCATTTCTTTTTTCCTTTCTTTTTTTGGGCCCTGTGGGCACCCTACACTAGCCGTCTTCCACATGGTCCCTCGGGTCCCTGCTGCTCCTAACCTCTTCGTACATCATGGAGGGGGCGCTCCTCCTGGTCAAGGCCTTCCCCGTCTTCATGATCGCCTCGCCTAGCTTTGTCGGCACCCTCTCGGCTTACTGCGCCGCCCGCGCCGCCGACCTGAGCTGGGGCAACCGCCCCGCCGCGTCGCCCGAGGAGCAAGTGAGGCGGCGCCTCGCACTGAAGCTGCCCGACGACGACGCGTTGATGTCGCGATGGCACCGAGGCCACGTGCGACGGATGCATCCTGCTCAACGCGCTGCTCGTCGCCGCTAACCTCGCGCTGATGGCGGCGGCGCCGTGGTTGGTCACGGCCATCGCCTTTGTGCATCCGTCGCCGCGTCTTTGAGGGCGCCATCGAGCTGTGCCTCGTCTTATCGTTCGCATTCCTACTGCAACAGCTGACTGCTCGGGCTCTTTCACGCGTGGACGGCTGCGAAGAACGTGCTGCGCGGTCTCTCACAGCTCGTTCGCCGCAGCCCAAAGGTGGTTCTTGCGCGAGTGGCACCGACGAGAGTGGAGATTCGAGTGGCGCCACGGAGTGGAGACTCTCTGCTGCACTCCAGGCCGCGCCTCCACCGCTTCCGTCGAGGCCGACAGCGACGCGCAGGACGTCACTCGGCCCGCCACCGCCACGCACCTCGAGTGAGCGCCGCTGCTCCCTACAGACCGGCCTATAGGCGTGTCTGAGGATCTTGTGTATTGCCGCAGGAGGTAGACTCTGGGAGAGGCGACTCTGAGGCCTCGAGACGGCAGACGTTCGAGCTCGTCGTGTCGGCTGCCGAGAATTCTTTTCGCCCCAGAATCGAGAGTGCCGCTTGCGCCGCCGCCTCGTCCGCCTCGAGTCGACTGAGCATGCAGCGCTGGCCCATCGGCCTGCTGCTCGACGCCGTCGCCACGCTCGCCGGCACGGGTGGCAAGCAGCTGCTGCGGCACGCAGCGCTCACGGGCAAGCACCGCTACTACGCTCTCGGCCTCATCCTCACGGCGGTCATCGACCCAATCTTTGACGTGGCGGCGTACACGTACGCCGCGCAGTCCATCATCGCCGCCGCCGCCGGCCTCGTCGTGGTGTGGAACGTGCTGCTGGCGCCGTACACGCTCGGCGAGGCGCTCACGCGCGAGCGCAAGCTCGGCTCGGCCCTGATCTTTTCCGGCACACTGCTCGTCGGCGTCAGCGGCAGCCACGCGGAGGTGGAGCGGACTCCGGCGCAGTACCTCTCGCTCTTTGCGCGGCCCGAGGCCTGCGCCTACTACGCCTCCTTCGCGGCCTGGATTGCCGTCTGCGCCGCGCGCCTCTGCCGCGTCGGGGCTGGCAAGGTCGAGCGCGGCTTCCTCGTCGCCGCCGCCGCCGGCTCGCTTGGCGGCAACACCTTCACCACCAAGGCCGCCTCCGAGCTCCTCGCCAGCGGCGCGGCAGACCCGGAGTGCGACGGCTGCCCGTTCCGCTCGCCCGCGTTTTACCTCCTCGCCGGCTGCACGGCGGCGACCGCCTCGACCGCGCTGCTGCTGCTCGGCCTGGTGCGCGCTCTAGACTTCCACACGGTGTGGCACAGCGCGCCGTCGCCACAGCTTGCCACCTGAGGCGGAGGCGTGCACTGACGTGGGTGCCTCGTCTCCCTCGCAGGTGCTGCGCGAGCACGACGCCCTCTTTGCGATCACCGTCTACTCGGGCTTCTACATCCTCTCTGGCGCCCTCCGCGGGAAGGCACGGACGCGCCGTGGACATGTCGTGAGTCATGTCGTGGACGCGGCCCGCCGTAGGCGCCCTCAGCGGCAACTTCGTGATGGACGAGAAGCGCGGCCGCCCGGCCGCCTCGCTCGCCGCCTACTGCGCCTCGGTGGGGGTCGTGCTGCTCGGCCTCGCCGTCCTCGGGCTCGGCGAGCGAGGGGAGGGCGCGGGGGCGGCGGCGGCGCGCAGGCCCAGCTACGAGCCGCTGAGCGACGAGGCGGGCGCTGCCGAGCCGGGCGACGCCGGAGCGGTGCGCGGCGGCAGGGCGGCGCAGCGGGAGTGGAGCGGGGCGAGGCAGACCGCTGGCAGCCTTCCTTGGAGGACATGAGAGCTCGAGAGTGGCGAGAGTGGCGAGAGGTCGATTATGGAAATGTTTCCGTGCTCCCCGCCAAAAAATCCTACGGCTCTAGGGTCTCTAGGACGTAGGAGGTGATATTAGCTGTTATTCATCAACCCCGTTGTGGAGGCTTCCCTGGGACCCTGTTGCGTCAGGCGTCAACCACTGTCTCTTCCCATGCATACAACATGTGCGAGCTCGCGAGCTCATCTGCATCTCAATCAAATCTCAGGGGGCGTCGCCGCGCCTAAGCCGACTACATCAAGAAAAGATTCGTGCCGTCGCCCCCCCCCCCCCCGGAGGGACACTATCTTGGAGCGCTCTACATCAAGACTGCGAAAGAAGCGCTTCGCGCCGTCGCCATCGGCGCCACTGCCTCCCACATATTCTCGGCCGGGTCGTACCGCTCCACCGAGCTGAGGCGGGTGTGGCCGGCACCCAACCCACCAACGGCGTACAGCTTGCCCTCGAGCGCCGCCACGGCGTGACTGTACCGTGTCTCCGCCATCGGCGCCACCGCCTCCCACGTGTTCGCTGTCGGGTCGTACCGCTCCACCGAGTGGAGGCGGCCGTCGTCGTTGATGGACCCGCCAACAGCGTATAGCTTGCCGTCGAGCGCCGCCACGGCGTGATTATACCGTGCCGTCGCCATCGGCGCCACCATCTCCCACGCGTTCGTCACGGGATCGTACCGCTCCACCGAGCTGAGGCTGCCGTCGTCTTCGTTCAAGCCGCCCACCGCATACAGCTTGCCATCGAGCACCGCCACGCCGTGAGCCTGCCGCGCCGTCGCCAGCGGCGCCACCGCCTCCCACGCATCCAACGCTGGGTCGTACCGCTCGACTGAACTGAGGGCGCCGTCGTCGTCGTCATTCGCTCCGCCCACAGCATACAGCGTACCATCGAGAACCGCGACAGCGAGATCAAACCGCGCCTCTTCCATCGGCGCCACAGCCTCACTTGATTTCGTAGCAAAGTCGTACCGCTCCACCAGGTTGGAAGATGCGAAGTTCTCGGCCTCACTCAGGCCGCCCGCCGCGTAGAGCTTGCCATCGAGTACCGCCATGCCGACATACCTTCGTGCCGTTCGCATCGGCGCCACAGCCTCCCCCTCCCACTCATTTGTTGACGGGTCGTACCGCTCCAGCGAGCTGAGGTGCTCGCCATTGTTGTTGTGGCCGCCGATCACGAGCAGGCGCGGCCTCTCGCGCTTCTTCAGCGTCTCCTTCCAGCCGCGGCGCCACGCGCGGCACGTCCCCTTGACGGCGTGCTCCTTGGTCGGCAGCTGGGCGAGGATGTGCGGGGCGAGGTCCGGCGAGAGGAGGACCTCGGAGAGCACCCACTCGGGCTGCTCCACGAGCCGAGCGGCGTGTTCCTCCGCCACGCGCAGCGCGGCGGCGCTCGCGCCCGCCTGCGCCTCGATGCCGTCTGTCATGTTTGCGCGCTGCGCCGTGCTGTACGCCGTCATCGCCGCCGCCGCCCGCGCCCCTCGCCCCCCTCCCCCTCCCCCTCCCCCTGCCGCCGCCGCCGCCAACGACGAGTGGCAGCAACCACCGCCTCCTGCAGGCATTTGGTCTAGAGTGTATGCTGCTGGGCGGGGCGTCTCCTGTGGGCGAGAGCCGAGACTCGTAACGGCGAGAGGGGAGAGAGCAGGGCAAAACGCTTCAGGGACACGGCGCCGTGTGGTTCACTGCGCAAAAGCTTTTGTGTTTTGATCAGAGACGATGTTCATCACAGATGTGGCGCACCCTCCCAACTAGTCCTGCCCACAGGGAGGGCGGCGCCGCCGGGGCCTCCGCCGGCGCCTCCGCCCGCGCCCCCTCCGCCCCCGCCGGCGCCGGCGGCGCCTCCGCCCGCGCCCCCTCCGCCCCCGCCGGCGCCGGCGGCGCCTCCGCCCGCGCCCCCTCCGCCCCCGCCGGCGCCGGCGCTGCCACCGGCTCCGCCGCCGCCGCCGCCGCCTGCGGCATTGCCGCCGGACCCGGCTCCGCCGCCTCCGGCTCCGCCTCCACCGCAGCCGCAGCACGCGCCTTCGCCGAGAGTCGGAGGTAGCTGTAGTCGGTGTCCGAAGCGACGGTCGACCCCCCAGAGCCTCCGCCTCCGCCGCCGCCGCCTCCCCCTCGGCGGCTGCCTCAGGTGCCGCCGTACCCGAGCCCGGCTCGGCCGCCGCCGCGCCGCTCGCCGCCGCGCCATCCCGCTGCGCACAGGCCTCCGGGAGGATAGCGGCTGGCGCGTCAGCTGCAGGTACGAGCACCGCCGCCTCGCCGATCGCCCCCGCCTCTGCAGGCTCCTTTGCCGGCGCGCCGCCAGGCGGCACCCGCCCGAGCCCATCCGCCTCGGCCGCGATCACAGCCTGCTCGGCCGCCTGGTCCGGGCGAGGCGAGCGCCCGCCAGACTGCGGCGAGTCCGCACCGCGTGCACCAGCGACGCGAAGATTCGCTGCCACTGCTGCTGCTGTTGCGTGGACGGCGAGAAGCGCCGTGTTTGCGGCGTCGTCGCGGAGGAGGGAGGGCGGTCCGGCGGCGATGGGAAAGGACGGCGTGGCGGCGCCGCAAGCGCGTTCGGTCGCGCGCGCCCCGAGGCCACCGTCGTGGGTGCAGCGTGCGTGCCTGACTGAACTGCTGGGCTCGCGCTTTGCCCGATGCGCAGCGGCGGGTCGACGTGGCTACTGCCGGCCCGCAGCTTCTTCATCGGCGGCGCGGGGCTCGCGGCTGCAGCATGGAACCCGACCAGTGCGTGCCCACGCTTGCTCTGCCCTTTCCACAACGTCATTGCGACGTCGGCGTTGCCCCCCACAGTTGCCGCCACCGTTGCTGCTCTGCCCGACTTCTTCGCGGGCACTTTTGGGGGAACCCTTCTGTGAAGAGGGCCTGTCTAGACAGCTATCTAGACAGAGACAGCTGTCTAGACAGCTGTCAAGACAAAACTACAAGTTCAAACTTCAAGTTCTCAAGTTCTCTTAGTTCTGCTGTCTAGACGCACCCCCCCCCCCCTTCACTGGCAAGTAAAGAAAGCGGCATGTGGATGGATCTTGGGTGGGTGGGTGGGTGGGGAGTGGCCTCGGCAGCGGCGCCAGGGGTGCTGTCAGGGGTCGTCCAGCCACGACTACGAGACTTTACTGTGAATAGTGGAGCCATGTGCCACTGTCTGGACGCTGTCTGGACGCTGTCTGGACGCTGTCTGGACGCTGTCTGGACACTGTCTGGACAGGCTCAGAGGACTGTCTAGACAGGTGCGGGAGCTCCACAAACCAGGTTATATTTTTCACTAAAGAGCTCCGCTAAGGCCTAAGCACGGCGCCCCACGAGCGCGCGCGAGCAGGAGGGGGGAAGGAGGGGCCGCCAGAATGGAGGTTTTTTGTTGTTTTGAGGTGCGAGGAGTCGTCCGCCGGGGCCGTGGGCGAAGATGGTTGTGAGTGTAAACAGAGTCTGGTCAATGCACATCGAACAACACCAACAATCCAGGTCGTCCCGCCGGCACCACGAGCGCGCCGCTGCAGCGCAGGTTGAGTAGGCGCAGAGTCGGGCAGCCGCCGAGGGCGCCCACGTCCACCACGGCTCGACACTTGTTGAGGTGGAGCTGCCGCAGCGCGTGGCACTCGGCGAGGCAGCCGACGGCGCTCAGCTTTGAGCATCCCGTGAGGTAGAGGGTGTCGAGAGCGCGGCAGCCCACGAGCCTAGATGGGGGAATGCAGGGGGCGGATGCGTTGAATAGTGCATGATGCAGTGAAACTCAGACCCTGGCATGAATGCAGTGAATGCAAATGCAGTGAATCATGCAATGAATGCACTATTCCCAGGGTCTGAGTTTCACTATTCAACGTGAGATCTCGCATTCCCCATCTAGGCCCACGAGCGGGGCGACATCGCTCAGGCTGGCGCAGCCGGTGAGCGTGAGAGTCTTGAGCTTTGGGCACTCGCAGAGCATCGAGACGTCGCTGACGAGCGTGCAGCTCAGGTCGAGCGACTCGAGTGCCAAAAGGGCGCGCAGCGGCGAGACGACACGCAGCGAGCGGCAGCCCCGCAGCGACAGGCTGCGGAGGCCATGGCACGCCGCCCGGCCCGCGCTCACCAGCGGCTCGACGTCGACCAGCGCCTCGCACCCGCGCAGGTCGAGGCTCTCGAGCCGCGCGCAGCAGGCGAGAGGGCCCAGCGAGGTGAGGGGCGCAGGGCCGTACAGGCACAGGTGCGTCAGCGGACGGCACGCCGCGAGCGGGCTCAAGTCGTCGGCCAGGGCGACGGACACGCCCTTGAGCAGCCGCAGCGTCTGGAGAGAGCGCGCCCTCTCCGCGCCGGCCAGGGAGCGGATCGACGAGGCCGGCCCGCGCACGGTGAGAGCTCGAAGGCCGGGCACCAAGAGGAGGGCGTCGAAAGCCTCCTGCGTGCACCGGTCAACATCGACGGAGACGAGCTGAAAGCGCGCGGCGTTCAGAGCGATGAATTGCAGCAGCCGTGGCGCAGGCGAGGGGCGGGCACTCAGGTCGAGCTCGAGGTTTTGCAGCGTGGCTCGAAGCACCCGGCAGCAGGACACGAGCCGCATCAGCTCGTTCGCCTGCAGGTTCTGGCCGCTGGCGACCATGATGGGGACAACCTCCTGGAGGAGAGCCAGCATGGCTCCCGCTGAAGAGAGAGATAACACACTCCGCGCCGCCACGGGTCGTGAAATCCTTTCGTGTCGATTGGTGGCTGCCGGCAAAGGCGCGATTTCTTTTTTTGAAAGAATGGGGCCCCTCTTCTTCTGAAAGAAAAGAAATACAAGTGCCATGGAGGCTGGCGAGAGAGACTGCGCCGGCGGCTTCCACTCCACCTCGCTCATGAAGGCGGCAAGGAATGACCAGCCGGAGCTCGTGGAGAAGGCGCTCGAGTGCACCGCCAACAATATAGACGCAGTCGGCAGTGACGGACGCACGGCCCTGATGATCGCTGCCGCGTTGGGCCACCTGAGGGTCGTGCGAGCACTGTGCAACGCCGGAGCCGACCTCAACCTCGTCGATGGTAACGGCCGCTCTGCGCTCGACGCCGCTATTCGCAGCGAGCATGCCGAGATTGCGGCGCTCCTGTGCGTGCAGCCCGCTGCCACACCCTGCCAGCACACCATGCCGACACGCCCGTTCGCTTGCCTGCTCGGACTGCAGGAGCAAAGAGGCTGCATCTCGAGAAGCGCTTTGGGCGGCCATCAACGGGGTGTCGGGCGAACAGAAGCCGATGGACGCGGGGCCACCGGCCATGCCGGCTGGGCTGGCCGAAATGCTGGCGCAGGCCGGGGGCAGCATGCCGCCCGCGTCGCGAGAGGCGCCGTTTTAAGACGAGAGAGTCTCGGTGTGAAGTCGAGTGAACTCTTGCAGCTCGAGCCTCGAGCGCAGAGACCTGGGGTCTACGAGATTACTATTCGCACGCACGGGGCACGGGAAGGCATCCTACTGTGTGAATACGTTTTCCACGTATTCCAAATGACCTCCCAGAGGCCTGTATTCTGCCGTATTCCACCCGTATTCCACGTATTCCATGGAATACGCCGTATTCCAAGCTCCAAAAATGGACGTATTCCGGTGAAGAAATTTTTCTTCGCTCCGCGAATTCACACAGTAGGGAAGGCATAAGAACACAGGGGCGGACGGACAGCTGAGGACGGAGGTCGGAGCCAGTCCCGTGCCCAGTGTCGTACTAGGGAGTTCTTGTAATTTTTTTCTGCCCCAAATACGCGCTCGCTCGCTTGCGAATAAAAGAATTTTAAAAAAAGAATTTTTCGCCCTGCTCACTTGTCGCCCGATGGGACTTGTCTCCACCTCGATGAGGCTGCTCGAGCGCCGCGCCGCGCTCTTCTCGGCCGTGCTCCTCGGCGCGGCACAGCCGCCTCTGCCGTCGCGCGCGGCTCTATCTGGCGTGCCTGATACGGCCACCGCCGACGAGCTGGCCGCCGCCTACGCCGCTGGCGCGAGAGCCGATGGCGGCCGTGGAGCAAACACGATGATCCGCAAGCGTGCTGAGAGTGGCGTGCAGCGCGTTGGCAGCGACAGCCCCGTCTTCAAGCCTGGAGCGATCCTCGACGGCGTTCGCAGCGCAGACGGGTCGACTGTGGACGTGTCGTTTGCCTACCCGAAGGAGTGGACCGTGGCGGGCGGCCCAAACCTGGACGTCCGCGACGTCCGGACGTCGGACAGCGCCTACCTGCTCGCCGCTCCTCTGCCGAGCGGCCAGGCTCTGGACACGTTGCCTCGCAGCTTCTTTGCCGAGCTCCTCTTCCGAAGCGACGGCAAGTACGGCGCGTACGGCGGCGTCGACGACTTTGCAATCGCGGAGAGCGGCGTGGCGCTCCTCTCGTCCCCGTCGGGCGGTGAGCAGCCGTACCGACGGCTGAGCCTCCGCTTTGACGTCCTCACGTACAACCAGAACACCGTGCGGAGGCGTGCGCTCGTCTCGGCGACGGCGGCGGGAGGCTCGGTGTACGTGCTCGTCGCGAGCTGCCTCGGCTCGCGCTTCAAGGAGGCGCAACCCGCCCTTGCCTCGATCCAGGACAGCTTCCGCGCCCTCGCAGCGCCGCGGAGATTGCGCCCAGGGCCTGAGGACAAGCCGGCGTGAAAGAGCCGCGCACTCATGCAGGCGTTCCGCGCGGTGGCGCGCTCCTCGACGGTCTCTGTGCTTGCAGGCAGTAGCCAGTACGTTCCTATGATCCCATCTGCAGCGATATTTGCGATTATTGTCGTAGCTCTCCATTTCGCTGCGAATTGTATCTCCCGCTGATCTCCTGGGGAGATTCGATATAGCAGACTGGAGCCGCCGAGGCCGCGACCCGAGACGCCGCCCGACGAGCCCCCACTGTAGTGTGTATCGGCTTTACCCCCATGCCCCCCCCCCCCCTCTCGATCCAGTGGACTCCTGATTCTCAGCATTCGGTGCACGGTGGCTCGGGGACTGCTCATTCACATTCTCCACGTTTTTCGTTTTCGGCCGTACGCCGCGCCATTCGATTAAAAGTGCAAGGCCCAGTGCGCGCGTGCACAGTGCGTTGTCTTCCGTGCCTCGTTAGTGTTGTGAGAGCGAGTTGGCTCCTAAAGCGCAGGAGTCGCTTACGCGGCAGTGATCCAGTGTGGCAGCGGCTTTCATTCCGCCCGGACGAGTGAAACGGTCGATGATCGTATTCACGACGAGTTTCGAATAACACAAGGTAACAACACAAAAAACGGCTCCAGCCAGGCCCCAAATTACGTGTGAGTGTTAGAGTTGTTAACCCCGCGGGCGGCTTTTTTTTTCTGACGCCGATACTGCACCTTTCCCATGTCTGCTGGATTCGAGGACCCCTTCTCAAGCCTGCCCGCCGCCGTCATCGGCCACATCCTCGGGCTCGGCGACGCTCGCACCGTCTGCATGTGCGCGAGCGCGAGCGCGACTCTCGCCGCCGCCGTCGAGGAGGCGGACGCGCCCATCTTTGCGTCGCTGGTGCAGCGGCGGTATGGCCACCTCGAGGGGTGGGCGATCCCCGCGGCGGCGCTCGCGCCGCCGCCGCACGACCCGTGCGGCTGGCGCGCCCTCTACTACCGCCTCGCCGACCGGCGGTCGGACGGATTTTGGGGGCGCATCGCCGTCGGCAATGTCACGCACGAGGCGCTCGTCGCGCGTGGGCTAGTGCGGCCCACCAGGCCGGCGGCGCGGGGGTGCGTCCTGCTGATCGACGACGCGATCTACGACGTGACCGCCTTCGCGCCCCTCCACCCTGGCATGGCCGCCTCCCTCCACCTCTTTAGCGGTTCGGACGCGACCGAGCCCTTCCACGACGTCGCCCACTCGGCAGAGGCGCGCCCCTCCCCGAGCACCCGCCGCCGCAGCCGCCTCCCCCTTCACCGCCAAGCCCGCCGCCGCCGCGCCCGCCACTGCCCCACTTCCCAACCTCCTCCTTGCAGGCCCTCCGCATCATGCGCTCCTTCCTCGTCCCTGGCCTCCGCCTCCCGCACGAAGGCGTCCCCGCCTCGCTCCTCAGCGACGCCGAGTGCGCACACGCCCCCCCCCCC